TGACAAGTGTTATCAGCATCTTCATATCTGGTCACATGGTGGCAAGCCACTCTCATACGGTCACATGGGTGGCAAGCCACTCCCACAAAGGAGGCCATACCCACAGAGTAGGTTTGAACAATTTTTGAAACCCACCACTGCTTGAGACCCTCACTCTCATCATAATCTCTTTCTTTCCTTCCTTCCTTTTCTTTTTCCTTCCCTCTACATTCTCCTCTTCCTTCCCCTCCTTCCTTATTTTTCCTTGCTTTCTTCCCATCTCCCCTTCTTTTTCTTTGTCTTTCCCCTTTCCCTTTTTCCTTTCCTGTCCCTTCTTGCATGCTCAAAAGGGGAAACATTTCTCCTTTTGTTTTGTTTTTAGTTTGTTTTGATAGCCCTGTGCCAGCAAAAACGGAGCCTGGGAAAGCTGCACGCACGCGCGCGCGCACACACACACAAACACACACACACACGGCTTTTGCCTGCGATGGCCACCTGCAGCCCTCTGCTAGTAAAAACGGAGCTTGGTGGGGCACATGCAGCCCTCTCCAGCTTCATTTTTTTCTGGCAAAGGCACCGCAGGCCGATCCTTTGCTCTTTGCAGGCTGGCCCCGCAGGCCAGATCTAAGGGCCAGATACAAGGGCCAGATACGGCCCACAGGCTTTGAGTTTGACATCTGTCTTACACTAATAGCTTCCTCATGGCCACTCCTTTTGCTTATGTTGGACTGCCTTGTTGGTTTTGTCATTGCCACCTCCCCTCAGTCCTCATCCACAATCTCACACCATTCTAGAAGCCTATAGCACCTTTCATCGCCTCTTCCATCTACTGTGAACTAAGCTTGGAATGGAAGTCATTCCACAATATGGCTCCTTCACAAAATCCCCCTCAGTCTCCCATTCTGTTCTCCCTGTGTTCAGGACTAAGCGTCTGAAAATGGGTGTCAAGGTGAACTACCTCAATAATGAGGAATACCAATTCAGCTACATCACCCGAGGAGAACCCGGATCCCGACCATCTGTGCTGATGCTTCATGGATTCTCACTCAACAAAGACATGTGGTTAAATACCATCGAAGTAAGTCTTCCTTTTACACTAGCTTGGGTGATGCTGGTCCGATCTTGGATACTAGTCAGAGAGGAAACTTCTCCACAGTTCCTGGCTTGTATGGCTTTTACTAATGCCCACATCTAAGGTTCTGTCCAATTTTTCTGCTTTTAATCTTCCTGGGGGTAGATGAGAACCAGCTATCTACCACTATGGATAAAGCAGAATAGGAAATTTAACCCAGTCCTTAGGCTACAAGTGGTTTTGACCCTCCTAATGTTAAGGATCACTTATGCCTTGCCAAACTGCCGCAAAGAGGAATTGGCTGACGTCACAACAGGAGATGGCAATTTTATGAAATATTTGGGCACCATTGTGCATTTTTCCCTAATAAAGTAATATTGAAAAGACAGTTGTGGAAATCTCATGTAGTTGCATGCATTTTTTTCCTGAAATTTTATGAAATTGCCCTTTTGTGAAATTTGCTGGTCTTTGGGCTACTAATTAATGCTTTTTTAAAAAACCACTAGGCACTGCCATGTATCCTAACATGCCTTGGTGGAACAGCTGGCAAGGGAGTAAATACCAAAATACAAATGCTGAGGTAGATGGGTAGTTAAGAAGTAAAAAAAAATATAGATAGATAGATAGATAGATAGATAGATAGATAGATAGATAGATAGATAGATAGA